GAGGTGGACCCCTGCAGCAGCCCACTTAAGTTCGCTGGCGAAATTCGGGAGCTTACTAACACAGTAAGGCTATTAGTGAGGCTCCGGGGGATTGTGTGCCGAAGCCTCCCGGCACGTCTCCACGTGTTTACTCCATTACTTCTCATTAACTAAGCTACTCCATGCATTGTTAGGTATAATTACGTTTTCGACAGGTCGTGTATCATTGGAGTTTCAGTTATCGTGTAACATTTAGTGTATTTAAAATATTATCGATTCATTTCGATTAGCTCAGTTTACTGTCGGACATTTTCTTGATAGTGCGTCTTATGTTTCAAATTCAGATTCGAGACCTGGAAATACTAATTACAGACGTGGGATTGAATGAATACAATCCCGAGTTAAGTTCTATAATTTTTCTCAATAATTCACTTAATAGTATACATTATTGAGTCTCCTGTTCATTTAAATGCCAAATTCTCAGTCCTCGAGCTACGAGATGAAATTCTCGTTTTCTCTTTACTGCATTTAGCTGAAACACGATTTTAGACTGGCCACTCGTCTTCCTGACCATCCGTACGATATAAAACGCCATTCGGTGAGACTCATCGGGGAGAGCCGAAACCCTGAGCGAAAGCAGAAGTCAAGAGGTCTACAGATAAAGAAGACGGGAGAGTGGTTACTAAGCCAAGGCAAACAGACTGGTTGGATACGTAAAGGTAATGGAATAACTCAATTACAAGATTTCCCAACCCATTTTGTTAAAACAAAATGTTATTGTTATATTATGTTATTATAAAATGTTATATTATAAATCGGTGGGAAGTGAAAGTGAGAAGCCGGGACCAAATTAAGTGTTTGCGCAAATAAAAGCTAACGCTATGCAACAAAATTGGAAACGCCTTACCAGTTTTTATACGAAAGTAAAATTAATGAGAAATCTCAAACTTTTAATACTATTGAAAATAAATACTTTTAAAGTTATTCTGAAGTTAAATTTACAGTTCAAAAGCTTTTAATACAGGCGTTTGTTTCCTGCTCTTTCCAATTTATTGAATCACCATTTCTGTTCACAGCAACTTTAGTTCAATTGTTATTGCTTCATTTATAATTTTAAATTTCCTAGAGAAACTGCTTAATAACAATTATTACAATTTCATGTTTATGCTTATTAAACTGCCTAATTAAAGTGAGATCAGTCGTGGACTTAAAGAAGCTGAACTATTTTTTCCACAATCCACATTTTTCTGTTTTAACGTGTCTTAACGTGCTGTTCATGGATAAGAATGGATTTTAATGATTTGGCATAAAGGATTGCTCAGGATATATGAATTTCACATGAAAGGAACGAATATTTTCTTCACAGTGTTCAAATAGTCTCTGAAACTTGGGAGCTTCAATATAAAAATAAAATTAGGAACCCAGTTTCTCAGTTCTTTATTATTTGCCCGACGTCAGTCAACTCCGGAACAGCTAGTTGGCGCTTTCCGAGGATGCTCGTGTATTTGACGCTCCACTGAGTCGCGCCTGAATACAAGGGAATGTTGCTGCCACTTTGCTACGTCGCCTCTGAAGTTCTCTCAGAATGTGCTGCATCCCGTAACAGCTTTCTGCTTACTCACTGCCGCTTCGTGACAAAACATTGGAAACCAGCCCACTCGAGACATCATGCAGACAACGGTCTTCACTTACCAGGTCTTTAACAGGCCAGGAAAGCAGAGAGAGCAAAAGGAAAGAGAAAGCTTTAGGTGTAGATAACATTATAGGGTAAGATATGAATAAGCGTGTACGTTAACGTTTGTGGTTGGAATAATTTGTGAATTCAGGTCGGCAGGTAACTAATGCAATAAGTTTTTATAATTTTACTCAATTTATTCAAAACAATTACCTATAGTTGGCTATCCAGTGGATCAGGTATTTATCGTTCTCCATATTGGAAGTAACTGAACAATAAAAACAGGATAACTCATCGAATGCAGTTGTGTAATATGATGCGCTATCGAAGCTTCTTTGAACGGGAAATTCGATTTTCTCGACTGTGGCGGATTCTCGACACTTTCAGAAACAAGCTGGTTGTTTGGCGAGTCAACAACTGAGGTAGTTAGTCCCATAAATGTAGTGCATACTTTCGTCGGAAGGTGGCGATGATCTTTCCCATTGGATAGCAAGACCCGGCGCCGACCTACCGTCGGCTAGCGGGGATTACCCTCAACCAGGTATCTCCCGCCAGCGTGGCACCGCCCCAGCCGGGACAAGCTCTATGCTTTTGACTGGTCTCCCGGGATGTGTGGTATTGTAGCGACAGTATGTTTTTAAGTAAGGGGTGAGGATAGGACAAGGAAGAGGAGGGAAAGACCGTGCGCGGTCCGTGGCTCGTTTGTTGGGGTGCTGCTCCGACATTCGCCTGGTATTGATCGGAGAATCAACGGAAAACAATCGATCAGAGTAGGTGGCCTCTATAATTTTCCTGCAGACTGCGACTGAATTTGACCTAGTTGACAACGTAGTATAAAAAATATTGGCACCGTCGGGACTCGAACGCAGGACCTCCCGGTCAGAGGCAATGCAGTGAGCATGCGGGAGTGCTCTCACACGTGCACGAGAATACTAGTCACCTGCCGCATTGACCAGTCGCTTCGAGATTGTCTTCTGAACTTCACGCTTATCGCAGTGCAGTACCTGATGGAAAGGGCCACATATTACGCATAAGTCGTTCTCCCTCACATGTCCCCGCTCCATTTCAAAACAGCTTCGCACAATTTCATTCAATACATGAAAGCAGTCGATCATAATATTCAGGTAAATATTAACCCCGATGCAAATGTGAGGCAAAACAAAGAAAATCCATAGAGCGAGCAAAGTGTTTTAGTGATATGTGCAGATACGAAGCCCCCATTAATCATTCCACATTAATACCCCACACATTGTTATCTTTTGTAGAACGTACATTAAGCAAGACTGCACCGCGGTTAAATAAAAGATCCACGAAAGAACACCCTCAAGCGTCCAGTGTCCGCTAATACTCGTCGCCGGCGCCCACTTTACGTCCTTAACAGAGCAGAAACAGCGAAGCGCGCCGTCGGCCGTAATGCGCTGGGCGTCAGGCGCACTTCGCGGACGAGCGCTGCGCGTGGCGGGGCGGCCGGCGCCTCGAAACAGAAACAAAAACCCGGTCTCCGACTTCCCTGTTTGTTGCCTCAGCCTGGTCCCGCGTAAGTCACTCAATTTTCTTTTCGTTTTGGACGCGAATCGGTCATCTTAGGACCACGGGAACGTGCAACCGCACCCTCCGCCGCCCAGCCATATTTCCCCGGGGGGTAAGTGCACGTGACTTTTTGGGGAAGGGGAGGGGCAGCATTTCCATTCTGAAACCATTTTGTACAACGCAAATTTGTTATTCCTGGGGGGATAAGGTATAAAATGATCATGATGATGATGAAGGATGAATTGACACTTACAAACACATTGGCACACAGAAACATCCATGCCCCGGGTGGGATTCGAACCCGCGACCCTCTAGACACGAGGTTGCTATGGCTCTTCAGACAGTGACCTCTGCTATTCGGTCCGTCTGGGTCTGTCAAATTTATAAACTAAATTTTTGATATTTTCTTGTCTCTACATTTTTCAGTTTTGAAGTTTTTGTCAATTTCTGCAAAAGTTCAGATTCGGATTCAGCGATCCCTCTCCCCCCATCAGACAATGTATTTTACATGCTGTGGAAACCTTATTTGACTTTGAGCTAGCGTTTCGGGCTTTTTCCCTGATGGCGTCCTTCGTTAACGAGTCTGTCTCCAGAACGACGATGACCTGCTGTCGGGACGTCGACGCTGAGCAGAAAGACGCCCGACGGGAAATGCAGTTGGGTGATTCAGAGCTCGTTGGGGGTTAAGGAAGACGCTAATGTCACTGCCAAGTTGCTCGTCACAATTATTACTGCTTGACAGCTGGGGAGACCCGTGGCAAAGTGGCAAGCGCTAGCTTTCCAGCTCAGGATGCCGTGGTTTAAATCGCTGCCACTCCGACTGGAAATTGTCGCGACCAAAGAGGGTTCGCAGCGCATATTCTTTTAAATCTATGGAATTTGTCTCTCCCTCTCGTAACGTTTTCTTCAATCATCGTACCATGTCCACGTCACAATCACTAGGGTTGTAATTTATTCGCAATAAATCAGCGATGTATGCGCATATAAACGTAAATTTATATGCAATTAAACATTGGAAACTTGCGAAAAGGTGTAATGAAAAAAATAGGTGTTCAACAAAAAATAAGGCACAGGAATTATATAAATTGTTAGCGTACAAGCAAAACAGACGTCAAGAGCTTCGTTTTTATGAAGATTTACTCACATCTTAGAAAAATAATGGGGAAACTCGCGTACTTAATTTTGTACAAGATCTGTCGTCTTCGCGGCGACTTTCGGCTTTTTGAAATGTTCTGTAGCGACAAACACTTCACTGTGACCTGACTCGACGAAAGAGCTGGGGTAGCAATGGAGGGGGGGGATCTACTCCACAGTTAGAGGAATTGTAACGGTCGCAGGGACGGATATCGCGGAATGAACCCAACAGCGACCAGAGCGCAGAATTCTCGGAACGCACCACCATGAGCATCTGGAGCCGCGCCATGGCAACGAGACCATATGGTAGTAGCTTCCAGGAGTCTCGATCCATGGGCAGCAATAATTCTATTCGTTAACGTTCCGTAGTTGGAATACGGTATTCGTCACATTTGTTGAATAATCGATTAGTGATTCCGGGCGAGTAAACTGCTAAGGTATGTACTCCCGTAAGTGTAGTGCACGTTTTAAGGCAGGAGGTGGTGGTGATTTCTGGATGGCACCGTCCTACCGTCGGCTTACGGGGTTTATCTCCCACCAGCGGTACACCGCCCCAACCGCTATAAGCTCGAAGCTCCCGGCCGGTCTCCTGTCATGTGTGGTAGTGCATGTAAGTGTAAGTGTATGAAAGTAAGGAGTAAGGAAAGGTCAAACAACGATAGGGGCACCACCTCAGCCGAGATAAGCTCTAAGATCCAGACTGCTCAATCGACATAACGTATGGAGGTTTTTGTGGTAGTGCAGGCATTGCGTGGTAGTGTAATGCGTGTGTGTGTGTAAGGGTTTAGGAGAGAACAAGGAAGAGGAAAGAATGACCGCGCGCTATCCGCGGCGAGTGTTGAAATGTTAGCGACTGATATATTACTGTTCGCTGAGAATTTTCCACGGAAGGAGGATGAATATAAACATTTGCATACAAGGTCCAAATACGCAAGTATCTGCATTTATGGCGGAATATACAGAAATATGAAAAATTGAAATATACAAAATTGATTCTTAATGTCCCAAAAGTGTTAAATTGTTGAAACGGGATGTTTCATTTAACAAAAAAAATATATTTAAATTTTTTTCAAATAACAGTCCAAATATCATTCATTCATTTCTTCTATTCAGAAAAGACCACATCGGCCATAGCTCGATAGCTTAGTTAGATGAGATTTACAGAGGCGTTATGCAACCCCCCACAACTCATTCAGGGCGTGATGTTGCCTGGATAACTGGCAGGGACGCAAGCA